CCTAGAGTCCAACAATTAGTGCAATTGGACAAACGAACCGTACGCTGTTTTATAGACGTATGTTGTAGGTAGAGATAGAATTTAGACTTTAATCATAGTGCCTGAATGGTATTTGTTACGGTCCTTATCGCGATCCTTGCTTATATCCAAATGTTGCCAGAGTTTAAGACAATTTTCGTAACTCAAAAGGACTTAAATATTTACGAACGCCTCCATTTATGACAATAAAATTACTCAGAGATGACAGGAACAAAATGAAATCAATAAATTTTTAATTATAGCTTAATTTTTCATGAGCGAACTTCATTTATATCCGACTTCAATAAAGGAGGCGTTCTCAAATCGACTTTTTTTTGTGTCACGCGATTTACGAATTAATCCTTCTTTAAGGTAGGCAAACTAGGGGACGAATCCGGTTTCGCGAACTTTCCGGTAATCGATTTCAGTAAAATTTCGCAAATAGTATGTTGCAGACAAAAATGTAACTTTTCAGGTAACGAAATGTAATTTTGGACTCAAGAGCCCTGGCAACACTGCTATACCTGTTGGATGCTGATTGTGCTTTATGAGGTTTCTCGTCAACGAATATACAACTCACGGCAGGGTTTATTTCTCCTCTAGAAACTTTCAACCGCACTGGCTAATCCGGATAAGGGACTTCACGTGTTCAAATATTAAAACTTTTTTAAACTTCTTTTATGTCTAAAGCCCCATATTCAGACGATTCCTGGTTTCAATCAATCGTTTCGAGTTTGGTGGCAGTAAAACTCCTTATAAAAGAGTTCGTCTCGGGAAGTGTCTGCGACCCTACCGATTTCTGCCGCCAAGCAGTAATTTTAGCATTACGGCGGCGTACCGGATGTGAAGAGTAAAGTTTTTATTTTACTGTAAACCACTCTGCCATCGGCGACACTTTAAACGGTCCTCCAACGTACTCATAGCATACTTTGTCTCATGGTAGATACTATTTAAAAGCAGGAAATTTAACTGAAGGAAACTTTTTCTTTGGCGGAACTAGCTACCACCTGTCTAGTCAACGAAGGCTTCGATAAAACAATTACTGTCTTACATTAGCAGCACTAGAGCTTCTTGTAAAAGAGTTCGTCCAGGGAAGTACTGTCTTACCTTGCCTATTTCTGCCGCCAAGCAGTAGGTAATGTGAGCATTAATGGGCTCGGGTTTTGAAGGGTGCTGGTGAAATTACAGGCACATGGGACTTGTCAACTTATGTCTCAGGGTGACGGGCGCAGTGGCGGTGCCCCTAAGATCTTTGCGATTTAAAAGTCTACGTGGCACCTGCAAATGTTATAGATACGCGTGTCGCTTACCATCAGGCGCACGACTTATTCGTCTCGTCACAAAGTAGCTAAAAAAAGATAACATCTGCCTACTCCAATGGGAATCCGAAAGCGTGTTATGTATGTATGTTTTATGTATGTAAAACCAAATCGTTTAGAACAATACTTCAATTACTCAAGCCTAAAATTATTCTGTAAACTTATGTCTCAGAGTGACGGACGCCGGGGCAGTGCCCCTCAGATCTTTGCGTCTTAAAGCTCTGAGTGGCGCTGCAACTGTTTTGGACAGGCGTGTAGCTTACCATCAGATTCACGACCTGTGCATCCCGTGACTTGATATAATATTTATTTTTAACATTTCACTGTCTAATTATATTCTTTTTGTAATTCAAGAAGAAACGTTCAGAAGAATAAGAATATATAGTAATATGATTTGAGCCAGCGCTATAGTTTTATTCCAAAATACCTATAATCGTCAGTTTAACTGCTACTGGCATAGTGGAAACACCAAATAGGTCAGACTAGGTCAGACTTTGTTGGATCACGCTGGATTACATCTATTAACGGAGCTAAAAATTAGAGCAATTTGGCCTAGATATATAAAAGTTTTAGTTCAGGTCGATTTTCCGAGTTTAGCTAAAAATAACTTTATTTATCTTCCTCGCCACGATACCCTTTACTCGATCTTTCTATGAATTATATTCCCTTAATGCCATGTAAATCGTTAAAATTCATTCAACCATAATTAAACTCCATAATATTTAGCATCATTGGAATGACACATGTCAAAGTTTATAAACTAGTGATGGGACACGAACGATCAGAGAAATCTAGAATCAATTGTTAAAAAATATACCGACTGAATAAAAAATAATATATAAAATATTTTAATTATCAACCCGATAATTTATTAATAAGGTTTCCTTTAACCTCGAATAATACTGAATAGGCTTGACACCATTTTTTGTTAATTTTCAGGAAAATTTTCATAGAACGTAACCAAGAATTTATTTGTCCGAAATAACGTTTGTTCGAATTTTCATTACACCGAAAACCGAATTATAACGAAACAGTTGTTCTTTCAAGATATGTTGAATGTTTATCACAAAGACACGATTAGGTTCGGTTAAGTTTAAAAGAAAAAACATTTTCCTCTTAAAATTACTTTCGAGGTTATGAAATTTCGACCAAACGTTGTTTCTGGAAAATGTCATTTCGGACTACTGATAGGTAAAGATATACAGGTAATTTAAGTTTTTTCTATGTTATGTAGGTAGCAAACAAGTATACTTTCTCCTGATGGAAAGCGGTCACCGTATAACCCATGAACGCCTGCAACACCAGAGGCGTTATGAGCGCGTTGCCAATCCTTTAGGATCCTTTTCAAATGCCTTTTGAAAGATTCCATGTTGTATTCTTGCGGGAAAATTCCGATAGGGAAGAGTTCATTCCACACAACCTAATTCTACGTGCGAAAAAGCTCCTCGCACGTTGGGCATACAACGTAACGTAAAAATATACATAATTTCGTTAAGAAAGAAGATATCCATAATATTAACCTTAGAACTAAGTCCAAACTCATCGTAACACGTTTTCGTTTAACTAAGGTAAACGATTCTTTTATGGGGAACTGTAGGCGTTTTTACATCAAGATTCCGGAGCATATATTAAGTTTGCCATTTCCTAAGTTTAAAAGTATTTTAATTGAAAAGTCATATTACAAAATTGTAGACTACGTGTTAGATAAAGATGTATGGAAAAACAACGTGAGTCTAAATTCCACACAAATATGATTCAAGATGTATTCTATAGCATTCAAGTTTATTTGAAAAGAGCAATCCCTAGAGTTTCTTGCTCGTTCATCTCTGGGAGGTTAGCGTAGTGAACGAGCAGTAGCTTAATAAATGACATTTTCTTGTGTAGAAATTTTTACCTATGGAATAAATGGTTATTTTACTTTGACTTTGACTCTCAAACCGTACAGTACGAGATCGTTAAGGAAGTGAACCTTGACACGTTATTTCGTTAAAACACGTTGTATCAAAAGAAAATGTTATTTAACATTCCTGCAAACAAAATTACAACCATCTATATAACACATCCAATTGATAGTTTCAAATAAGTTAAGCTTAGTAAGTTGAACTAAGTAACTTTTCCATCTTTTAAAGTCATCCATATTGTAAAGGTATAGGTCTTGTGGTGAATATAAATTAGGTACATTATGGACAGGAGAAGACGGCGTGTCGAGGTGCGCGGGCGTGGAATATTGATTAACCTTCTATTATTGAACGATTGACTTGTTCAATTTTGGTTTTGAAATTTATATTTTACTTTCTAAAGTTCCCAACAAGTTTTCATAAAGTTGAAGTTTTGAAAATATTCTTAGTTCAAGGAAATAAACCAACGTCTAATGCCTGATGGAAATACTTACCACATAATGCATTAATTGACGTGACTATTCACTCTCGCTTGTTTACATGTCGAATAGATTATTTTAGATGCACTATTTACTTTTAATATTATATGTATATTATTTCATTTTCAACTAATAACTTTACTCAAAGTTGTTTCTTATATTTTTGCTAAAAATAACTTCCATATTTAGTCTCTTTCGTTGATTCTGTCGCCAAATCAACGCTTTAGGAACTTCTTCTTCTACTTTATAATGTTACAGCTCCATCAATACCGTCGATGATTCCACCAATGTCGAGTTAATGGACACACGCGTTTTTTATTCAAAATTTAACCGGTGAATTTCGACAGAAACGTACTCATGAACTTAGGCATACACCGAGTCAACACCCTTTCACTGTTGTGACAGAAATAGTTTATTTCCTTTTGTATTTAACGTGATGTGTGTCATGTTAATGAATAAAGTGTATATTTATCTATAAGCATCTACAATATTTGTTGCTGGTCACATATAAACAATCTTAAATTCCCATAGTTCTTCTTATATTCCCATAGTTCTTCTTATATTTACAACCTAAAGGCACTTTTGTACACATCAAATTTGTCTCATGTGTCTATCATTGGGTTACCTATCAGAAGTCTGAAATGATATTTTCTAGAAATATCGTTTGCTCGAATTTTCATAACCTCAAAAGTAATTTTGAGAGGAAAATGTTTTTTTTCTTTTAAACCTAACTTAACCTAACCCAACCGAACCTAATCGTGTCTTCGCGATAAACATCCAACATATCCTGAACGAACAACGGTTTCATTATAATTCGGATTAATGAAAATTCAAACAAACGTTATTTTGGAAAAAATAAATTCGAGTTTGCGATAGATTACCCTATCATTGCCCTGGCTATTGTTAACCTTCAATCTCTTACACCAGATTTTCTGGATTTAATATCCTAAAATGTGACAGAAGTCATAGAATTGCTAAGATTATTAATACAAAGGTCGAACACATAGAACAACTTCTTCGACCCGGTGGGACTTGGACTCACGACCATGCTGCACCGTAGCATTGCTCTTACCACTGAGCCACAGGTCAAGTTATCGAGTAGTCGAAATTCTCCTATGTGTTATAGATCTTTACTGCCTTTCGGCATTCGTCGCCGCTAGTGACATCTAGTGAGAAATTTTTGATAAAATTGTTCTAAAGTATCGTATGTGTAACCCACCACCATGTTTGCATGATTTTGTTATTTTGAGAAAGTCTTATTCATTGCATGCTCTATATTGTTTCAGAAGCCCGCCACGCGACCAAGCGTGAAGCGAGCGACTACGCAGAAGTTCCACAGAACGATGGAACGGAAGACGAAATGCTTAACGATTATGGCGGAGAACAGAATGATGCTGATGCAGGTTTGTTGTCCCAAATCATATAATTATTTATCCTTGTGCATGGATATAGAAGAAAAAAAAACTGATTGATCTATTTCCTTTAAAAATAATGTATTAATTCTCATTAATTGATAACGGATCGGTTCATTGATACTCTCTGCTGAAGTCCTAATGCACGTAGCTAGCGAGTCTCAGTCTTGCTCTATTATTTCCTTGGACCAAGGACTGAATACCAGCATATACTTTGATAATACAGTCTAATTTCTTAGGGTACTAGGATACTTGCGTTAGTACTCGTAACTGCCAATGCAACCCTTATTAATATCTAAAAAACTATAATCAATTCGGGTCCAATAAAAGTTGGGTTCACATATCTTCCAAGGCTTTTTGTGGAACTTCTCTAAATGCACACAAGACACCAAACGATAGAAGAGTTATTTCATCAACATCCAAGGCATTATAATTTAGGACATAGTCCACCAAGCTGGACTAATGGCGGGTCGAAGAATTTATAACTATCAGATCGTGACCTCTGAAGATATATAATAATTTTAATCCAATTAATCAAGTTATTTACAGCCTTTGGAGTCGAAGCTCCTGGCCCGTGGGATCCTGGTGACTATCATCTGTACAAAATTTTATCCAATACATTTATAGACTGTCTGGCAAACCCATTAGGGCCTGGCAGGTACCTTGCCCAACGCATTAGCATTGCTATGCAAAAGGGAACGCTGCTAACATCTTGAGCACCTAGTCTAATTATTTTATGAAATATTTTCCGATTAATCCAGTTCGACATTGAGAGCGTACTTATTCCATATGTAATAGAAGTGGATTTGTAGTGCAACGTTGCACTTGATGTGCCGTCAACTGTTTCATTGCCGCATATAGCTTGCTTGCATCCATCCATTTCGGTGCTTGGAGCATCCATTTTGGTGTTGTCAGAATATCAGCGCTGCAAACTTGTTAAGTTGGCAGCATTGTACTGTGCCGAAACCTTTTCTAACCTAACCGTCCTTTTCTTATTATATGTAATGCTGTGATGTAATATGTGGAATAAATGCTATAGCTATCTATCTATCTTAATTACAGGTGACGACGATGAGGAAGTAGTCAATGCTGAGATCGTGACGAAACCCAACCACTATAAACCAAATCTGGGTGATAATTTACGGCTCGAGTGCAAGACGCAGCCTTCAGGTAAATGTCTGACATTCATTTTCGATTACGACTGAGGATAACTTTGGATGTGGATCATCAAACCCGCAAAAAGACAAAAACGTTGATTTGTTTGAAAATACGAATACAAACTATAAAGTACTACCTCTAAGCCAGGTACTTTTACAGCAACCATTGCTGTAAAGGTACGTGGCTGAGTGAAGAAAAACATTCGTAGATTTCTCAGAGATGACGCTACGCCAAAAAACCGTTTAACTAAAAAACAAAGATCTGCAATAACGATATAGTTAAATTGTGAGGTCTTCTGATTCCTTACGTAGCTCAGTTGGGAGAGCGGTTAACCCTGGTCTTGCAAACAGGCGCTGGCTCGAATCCAGCGGGATCGAAAAAGTTTCTATCTGTGTTTATTCGATATTTGTCAATAATATATAGATAGCACAATAATGGAAAGTTTTCGTCTTAGCTGACATCTGCCTTCGTAAATGTTACACAAAAAAATAAAAATAAAAATAGAATTAAATTCCGCTACCTAGTGCTTCTTTGTAATTATGTCGTTACATCTATTTTAAATGCATATATATACATTATTGTTGTTCCATTGAAAAATCTTGAATCGAATACTCATGTGATCAAATTTAATAAATTCAAGCTAGCAGGAAGTTATTCGAAGCACGTTTTGGCGCCACCGGAAACGCGGCTTTTTATTGTGCAATGCATTAAATAATTTCTTGATTTATGGACAGGTATTTTGACTTTATTTCATAGAACGTGAACTTTCTAGATCTATTACCGGTTTTACGATTTACACCAGCAATCACTCGCAAATACTTTGTATTAATAACAAAACTAGTGAAGTTATTTCACAAAAAAAATCTCAATAATACATTTGATCAAAAAGCGACATCTAACATCAGCCGAGGCACCTGTAAAGGTACCGGCTGCGGTGAGAAGGTTTCAAAAATCTCTCACTAGATGTTGCTAGCGGCGACGAATGCCGAAACCAGTACAAAGATCTACAACAAAAAACATAGGAGAATTTCGAGAACTCGGTAACTTGACCTATGGCTCTGTTGGTAAGAGCAATGCTACGGTGCAGCATGATCTTGGGTTCAAGTCCCACCGGGTCGAAGAAAATATTATCTGTGTTCGATCTTTGTATTAATATGTCTGGAGTCCTTGTTTCATTAATTTATATATATAAATCTGTTGTATTTCAGAGAACGTGATTGTGAGCTGGACAAAAAATAAAGACGAAAAACTTTTCATTGGTTCCAAACAAGTGAAAGTTGATGCCATCAGATTTTCTCTGTAAGTAAAAATGAAATGAAGATACACGAATTAAAGATACACTAAATAATTGTCAGGGCAATTGTGGAATTTACTGACGTGAGAGTAGCCATTTGTAAAATTGGACCTGTTAAGAATGAGTTTTTTGAAATGACTTAAATACCATTAAATGAGCGTCGACCTGCTATTGCCATGGTAACCGAATGGTTGGACCTATCGCCTACCGTAGGTTCGAATCCGGCCTCGTATTCTGAGTTTTTCGAAATTTATGTGCGAAATGTCGAAATTTACCATGAACGAAAACATTTGAAGTTTTCTCCGTATTGGGCCAATGTGGCGGACTAAGGCCTAAAACCCTCGCCTGAGAGGAGACCCGTGCCCACCAGTGGGTCCTATAAATGGATTGATGATGATGATTATGAGACCTGGAAAGTAAACTTGTAGACTTGTCCACAGACCGCAATGCTTAAACAACCTTTTACCTCTTACCAACCAGCTCTTACAGACCGTACGGTCTGTAGCTCAATTGGTAACAGACGCATGTTCGAATCCAGTCAGATCGAAGAAATTTTTTTTTGTGGTGTTTGATCTTTGTATCAATAATAGTAACAAACTTGTGGATTATTTTTACAAAAAATATTTATGGATGGTACTACGGCAAAAATGTCGTTAAAAAATCAAAACAAAGATCATATAGAAAAATTCCTAAGATCCGCTGGTTCGTTCCGTAGCTGAGGTGGCATAGCGTCTGGCACGGTTTGCTAGAAGACGTTGGTTTGATTCCAGCCGGATCGAAAGACGAATACGAATACATTAAAGTTGGTTTTTGCATAAACAATGGCGTAAATATTAACCACAATAACATTGTTTCCAGTGACAGAACGGATCTGATTATCCGCGACATTACTCATGAAGACAGCGGCACGTATACCTGCGATATTCTGCAGACTACAACTACACAGGTCACGCATATCGTCTTCGTCCACGAACCTGCAAAGATTAACAGTGAGTGTCTTCAGAGTCATTCGTAGCTTGAATTGCATTCTTAGGTTTTTCTCGCCTGCGGTTTTGGGTCCCACAAAATAAGACGCCTTTTCCGCACGAAACTGAATAGATACTATCTAGGCAAGTGTGTTCCACCTAAATTATAGCGAAATTTAACATCAGGGCTGTTTGGGGTCAAATGCTTGCTAGTAATAAACAAAATATATTCTATAATGAAGTAGCAGTAGAGGTCCTTGTGAAGGACTTCGTCCAAGGAAGAACTACCACCATACCTACTTGTGCCACTAAGAAGTAATGTGCTGAGGAAACTACATAGGATTTATCAACTTCATGTCACCTGATGACGGGAGCAGACTTTGCGATTTAAAGTTTTGAGTGGCTCTACAACTGTTACTGGTTCGTACCGTCATTTGCCATCATAACAAAAAGTCCCTCAAAATTGGTTTCGGATATCGGTTCTTATTTCCGGTTGAACCAGATGTGTCATGAGTTAGTGTTAATGTTAGAATACTAAGAAATATGTGTTTGCCTGTGTAAATTTAGAATTATCCAAGGTCTTTTGGGCAAAGTCCAACAAAATTTGAAGATATTATCATTACTTCTCATTATAAATTTAAAGCAAACTGCACAGTTAGTTCAATCATATCATACTTTCAGGGTTAACCGCATCGAAGACAGACATCGTCGAAGGTGACGAAGTGTTGCTGACGTGTAATGCTACCGGCGTACCACCGCCGACCATTTATTGGTCACGGTCAACCGATGGTGGAAACACGGTAAGAATTGTGACTGGTAAATACAATCCAAATCCAGTTTCACTTTTATTGAGACATGATGTGGAATGGTCTACCTCCTGAAGTATTTCCTTATAACTCAGGGTCATCAAAGAGCATGTCAAAAGCTGGCAACGCATAGGTAGCTCATCTGATGCTGCAGATGTCCATGGGCGGCGATGACCACCTGCCATCGAGTGCCTCGTCTGTTTGTTTGCCTCTACTTGACTTTACATTAAAAAAAAATTAACAAATACTCTCTAGTTCACTACTGGATCAAAATTGAGCTGCGAGCCGTGATTTTGAGTTAGATGAGAATATCATAAAAGTAACCAAAATAGTATCTGTTGCCACGTTCAAATAATTTAAAAAAAAATTTAAAACTACTGCGGCAATCAGTAATATGAACTAAACAAGTGGACTCTTTTGAAATTTTGCTCGACTAGTTTTGAACCAATCTGAACTTGAACATGAGCTTCCGCGGCGGTGACTCGACGAAAACTGCTCGCCAAAGCCCTGACAGCTCAGTCACTCCGTACGGGTACAGGCGCAGACGGCATGGAACTATCGTCGTTTGCTTCACTCTTATTGAGGTCATATGTAAGATTGCACTATTCAAACTCCAAATCATTTCGACTCATCCGAAGAACAGAGTCCGATGTTCGTTACTCGAACTAAGGCCTAAAGGTGTTTTGAGAATTTATATGCCTTATTTCGTTTCGGAAATATAAAATCGAACAAAGATTGATCTGACATCCACAGCGAAGAAGAACGAATGAAATAGACTTTGTCCTGAGAACAAGTAGTCTTGCACATAGAACTTTGTTCTACGGATAAGTCGATTTATTCCATAGGTGAAATTTGAAAACGTTATTTTTAAGCTACAAGCTCGTTCACTTTGCCGACTTCCCTGAGAAGAACGAGCTAGAAATCTAAGGATTCCTATATTCAAATAAACTTCTATGGAAACTGTTATGGAATCCACTTTGAATCAATCAACCATGTCGTCTTTCCATACATCTTTATCTTAACACGTTGTCTTCAATTTTGTAATATGACTTTTCAATTAAAATACTTTTAATGTAAGTTATTAATTTAGTAAAATTTATTACCCAAACCTACGGCGTGGGAGATGTAGTAACAAAGATAGAGAAAGGGATGCTTAGATGGTTCGGACATGTAGAGAGAATGAATTAAGGAAGGTTGACGAAATAGATTTATAAGGCGAGAGTGCTTGGGCAATTTGGCAAAAGCCGATCAAGCCGAACTTAGCACGACCAAAAACGAAGAAAGACAAGGGCAATGGTTCCCTTTAACAATGAGCATGTATGAAAGCATTGATGAGACGAAAGATGTATGTCGTGATTTTTGGTAACTGGAAGGCAGTGGTTGATGGTTTGAAGGATTGTTGGTAACATTATGTTTCATATGATAACACGTAGAATAATATGTAGAAGTTACAAGACTTTTATTATAAGTAATTTCTTGCGTTTCCAGACCACTGGCCTAACGGACGCGGACGGCGAGTTCTCCGCAAATGCAATCTTCATGAAAAACGTCCGGAAAGAGCAATCTGGAATTTACTATTGCCTTGTTGAGAACACTGGAGCACGCAAACCTGTATTAAAGTCAATCACTATCAACGTTGCTAGTAAGTAAAATAATATTAAAATATGAAAACCTGTGGACGGTCTTCGTCAACCGAAATCACAGTATTTTCGAAGTTATACGCAGGGTACAAGATCGTTTATCGCTTGCTTCAAAAGAACTACACTCAAGGATATAATGACATGTTTAGAATGAAAGTGGCCCAGCATTATTATTATTATTATTATTATTTAATTTTAGGAAGACCAACGGCTATCTTACATAACATAAACTTAAATAAAAACGGAGAGCCAATTATAGGTCCTCACCGGTAGACACACATTAAGTTAATTAAAGATCTATAAATTATAACTATGTAACTAATAATTATATTATATAGGTAATTACATAATCGCACACACAACAATTAGCTACTCGCCAAAAACCAAACCACTAATAAGACGCTTTACCGATGCAACACTAGTGTTAAAAAGGTCAATATCAACCTGCTTGGACAATGCATTGAAACTATTACTCGCACGCATGAGATATGCATTCCGCCGAAAGTTTGAAGAGGCCAGAGGTACGCACAGAGGTGAATTAAACCTAAGGGTCTTTGCAGGGGCTCCAAGAGAAATCTTGGATACGAGTTCCGGGGAGTCAACGGCACCAGAAGCAATTTTTTTCAAAAACACTAGATCAGCAATCTGACGCCGCATCTCCAGTGGCAAAAGATGATGTTTCTTGCATATATTCATATACTGTTTTGACTCGTATCGCTCCCCAGTTCGAAAACACAAAAACTTAATAAATCTTTTTTGTACATTTTCAATTTCAATTATAAATCCAACTTATTGGGAATACACAAATAATAAGATTTAAAATTGTGACATTTTCACATTATTTATTGTCTTGGAGCATTTGCGCATTGCGTCCCATTCTTCTTCTTTTAAATGTTATGGCCCCATCGAAATAATCAATGATTTTGCCAATGTCAAGTAAAAATAACTATGTACGGTAGTTTAGTATTATTCGTATCAGTTCCGAATCTGAAAAATGACGGTCCGAAATGTCACAGGGATCATTTTATCTATAGGTGAATAAACGAGAATCGTATTTTCTCAGATCGGACTTAGTGCACAAGCGACATCCGAAATGGATTCGAATTTTCTAGATTCGTATAGTCTCTAATTCGGAACGAATAAAAATCGGATGCCGTACGCACACGTGCTTGCTCTTAAAACACTGAATGTAAGGACCTTGTCAAATAATGAAGAAACATTCAGCTTGATAACCTCAAAAATTGTTTCTGATTATTTTAATACTTAACACTTTGAAAACATAATTGAAAAAATTTGTCACTATATTTTTTTCCATCACTCATACCCTAATTTGCCACCCTTAGCGGTGGAATATTTTCTTCAAATTTGAATGAGACAACTACTGAGGTACACCCTTACTGCAGTCAGTCTTCTTTTGTCTTCTTCTGTTCTGTCAGTCCTCTTCTTGTCGAGTCAATAACAAAAACCAACAAAAGTGTTATTTTACCTTAGCCAATAAGCAGCCATCTCTATGCCCCTATCCGTTGCCTTTAGCAGGTCTTAGCGGGTGCAGCTGGTCGGACACTGCGGGCATGAGAGCAAGTGAGACATAGTTTGTGTGAGGGATAATAATTTTGAGTCGGGTTAATATATCCACATTTCACCATGTAGTCTCTACATCGACCAACTTTTGACTTGAGACGATGCAGGGATATCCATAATGACCACTGCAGCTCATGCCCGGGGGAAGATGGTTTAAAGTCGCACACATTCGCATTACCATGGATCATTAAGTAACTGAAGAGGACTGCTAATCTCTATACCACAGTTCCGTAACTCTGAAAAAAGTGAAATATCCATCTTATATCTAAATGGCGCTGATCAATAACCTAGAAGTAAAGTCTATTTCAATCCATTACGCCAAAAAAGTAAACAAACCTGTTTGGTGAAACTTCTAAAGCAATCACTCAATAAATAGAATAAGTATGTTTTGAAGATTTCAACTTCATATCTTATCACTATTTCCAGCAATATTCATTTGAATATTGCTGTAATTAATTTATATAAATTCCAGTTATTCCAACTGATTGAATTAAACAAATCAATTCATTCAATTAATTATCGATTTGTAGTTGGCAGTACAGTTGGTCATCACTAAACTGTCTATGCTCAACCATAGAAAGTTTAGTGATGACCAACTGTATTGTACATGATCTGTTTGTTTACTTTTTGAAACATTGAATTGGAATAGACTATAGATTATATTACGTAAATGGCTGTGAAATAATGACACACTAAATATGAAATACTCGTAATCAGTTTATTTTTCCTTGTAACATTATTCAAATATTGATCCTGAGCTAAAATTATTTTCTGAACTTTGACAAATATGCGTGACAGTAGATAGCGTTGTGTGTTACAAATAAATTTGTAAATTAACGCTTCCTAATATGGGTAGATGGCGCTAATTCTAAATAAAATAGTAGCCGGCACTGTCCATAAAAATCTGTGCAATTAGCGCCATCTAGTAAATTTGTTTGTTATCACTAGATATTAGAGTAGCTTTGATAAATTTCAACTTGTCAATGTAAAACCAATTAGTTACAAAAATAGATTTTTGGTATATATACATATGTTGTTGCGATTAGAAGTCTTCTTGAGTTATTGGTTCATGGCATTCCATAGCGCTGGTCGTCACAAGCGACTTTTATTATATGCGAATGTGTGCGTCCGTACACGGTGCGCGGCGAGCGTGCACACATACAAGCCGCGGTGCTACATTTGTATGGAGTTACCATACTTGTTATACTAAATAATTTGTTTTATTTTTTATTATGCTATAACGGCGCTACAGCCTTTTCTTTTCTGGAGGAACTAGGACGTGCTTATAAGAAAACTAATTTTAACTTACAGGCAAACCCAAAGTGCACGCTCACAAGGGAATTGTGAACACAGCTGTTGGAACGGAAGCCGAATTGATCTGCACTACTCATTTGAATCACGCGGAAATCATGTAAGTTCTACATTTTGATTATTGGCAGTGCATTTTTAATGCGACACCCGAGGAGAAGCGGAGAAAAACGATTACCTATCAGTAGTTCGAAATGACATTTTCCAGAAATAATGTTTGCTCGAATTTGCATAACCTCGAAAGTAATTTTGAGAGGTTTTTTTTATTTTTTATTTTTGGTTTTAATTGATTTTTCTTTTAAACCGAACTTAACCTAACCTAACTAAACCTAATCGTATCTTTGCGATAAACATCCAACATATCCTGAAAGAACAACGGTTTCGTTGTAATTCGGTTTTCGGTGTAATGAAAATTCGGACAAACGTTATGTTAGAAAAAAATTCGAGTTTGTGATAGTTTACCTAAAAAACTGTTTTGCTAGTTCAAATAAATTATTTGAACTAAAAATTTACTACTACAAATACTATTTACTACTATTTACTACAAATTTACTAAAAAATTTGTTTCAAGTATTTACTATTAAATAACGGTCTTACACAAGATATACGATACACCTAAGGATATCATATAAAGAAAACGTTAATTTGTTACACGATAGGATGTGCTTTACCCGATCGTATAAAATCAAAGTCTAAATCGAATTATTCACGAATAAAATATCTAACTTTGCACTTAATTTTTATACGGAGGTATTATATCTTTTTTTAGTACTACAGCCCCCGTAATATGGCTATGCATGTTAGTCGCGACGCGCGCGATAAAATTGGAATAAGCGCGCGCTATTGGTTGTCTCAATCAGATCTAATTTAGATAGCCAATAGCGCGCGCTTATTTCAACTTTATCGCGCGCGTCGCGACTATAGCCATGCTACGGGGGCTGATAACCTGCAAAATTTTATTTATGAACTGAAGCCCCATTGTTATTAAATTCACATTTCTAGGGTCAGCGGACTAAGTCCATTATCATTCATTTAAATTAATAACATCTATCGCCTAAAGCCTTAACATAAATTTGTAACTTTATTCTAGAGGCGTCTTTTTCAAATTTATCTTTCTCTTCATATCTTCCAAAGCTATAAACAACACAAAAAATATATAATTATATATTAACAAATGTAGCACTTTTTTTACTTATGTACTTTAGTCCGCCGACCCTAGATTTATCTCAAAATTTCAAAAAAATGGTTTAACGACACGCCGCGCTGCCCGTTGCCCATGCAGTCGCCATCGGGCGCTTGTCGATGACGGACCTGTATCAAATTGTCTCCGCCTATATTATTTTGTTTAATTCCAGTCCCGTGATCCAATGGTATAAGGATGGCAAGTCGATCGAAGAAGCGCGCGTCTCCAGCTATACCGTCAGCACCGAAGGAGCTCGCTCCATTCTCAAAATCAAGCCCGCGACAGACGCCGACTTTGGCACCTACACTTGCACGGTTAGTTGTAAATAGAATTAACACTCTTCCTCCTTCGGGCCTTCACTGTTGAAGATAGGGACTTTAAGCAACTACACCGTCAATCAATTTTGTCCACTGCACCCTGTCTTCTTTTATAAAACCAAGTGACGGAATGAACAAGTCGTGCGCCTGGTGGTAAGCGACACGCCTATCCCTAACAGTTATAGTGTCACTTAGAGCTTGGAATCGCAAAGATAGGTGATGGGCACTGGCACTGCGCCCGTCACCCTGAGACATAAGATGAAAAGTCCTTTGTGCCTATAACTTCCCCAGCACCCTTACCCTTCTAAACCGGAACGTAGAAACACATTACTATTTGGCAGTAGAAATAGGAGCTCTTCTACTGTTATGATTATAATGAAGCGTTGCAAAATGATAGCAAAGAACCATCGAGTATATAACCAGACATAGAGACGAAATGTCATTTAATTTGTTTGAAAACCGACCTCAAAAGTACGTGGATTACGTCTATTTGCTAAGTTTTATTGAAATATCCCCTAGTTCGCTACTATACAGGTCTTGACACTGGAGATAATAAAAATCGGTTCTCACTACTCCAAGTACATTGAGAGAAAAACGCTTTGAATTGGAGAAATAGCAAAATAAACCATTAAAATAGTTGCCCCTAAATTAAAGTTAGGCGCTATTTATAAAAATGAATCGTAATGCCTAAACAGCCACCCTTAGAGGTGGATGATTTTCTTTAAAATGAAATGGGACCACTATGGAAGTACCCGCTTTCCAACAAAAAAAGAATCATGAAAATCGGTTCACAAATACCGGAGTTATCGCGTAACATACATACAAAAAAAAGAACATACAGTCGAATTGAGAACCTCCTCCTGTTTTGAAGTCGGTTAACTATTCTGCCATATCATTACTGTGACAACTGTGCTCCGATTGGCCAGCCCGAATTCGAAACAATTGACGGGTGTCGTCAATTGTTACACTTCAAATCGACCAGTTAACTTGAGCTTTGCTATAATGGACGAAAATTGCAAAATTACATATTTAATTACCGATGAAATTGGTTTTGTAATTAGATGTTTTCCTGTTTTCCCCACACCACCGAATGGAACAGCACGCCATTGTCAGAGATATTAGGGGTTAAAGTATGAAATTGCCGTTTTATTGCAATAGGTTCTTTGAATTTTCATAGAATCTTCATAGTTTGAGGTTTTCGAATGAAACTTTTTTCAAATGGTTTCTGTGATTTTTTTTTTTTTTTTTTTAATTTGAAACATTTGAATATCGACTTTCAATTGTTTTTGTTATTCAATTTAGACAAGAAAGATGGATACTGCGAAAATTCGAGTGATTTTTGAATACGAGTTCCGACGCGGAACTAACGCGGCAGAAACAGCCCGCAATATCAATGCTGCGTTTGGAGAGGGGTCTACTAATGAACGCACCGTGCGATTTTGGTTTAAACGCTTTCGTGATGGAAATTTCGACTTAAAGAACGAGCCACGAGGAAGACCGCCCACACAGGTGAATAACGATGAATTAAGAGAGATAGTGGAAGCCGATCCTAGTCAAACTACCCAGGAATTAGCGGCATGGTTTAACGTTACCTTACCCACAATATTGACTCACTTGCGTCAAATCAATAAAATAAAAAAATACGAAAAATGGGTGCCTCATGATTTGACTGATCTGCAGAAAGAAACGCGTGTTGAAACTTGTGTTGCCTTGTTGAACCGGTACAGAAATGAAGGAATATTGGATCGAATTGTAACATGTGATGAAAAGTGGATTCTTTATGATAACCGGAAAAGAAAAATGCAATGGCTGACCCCAGGTCAAATGCCACAACAGTGTCCTAAAGCAAAACTTACCAATAAAAAGGTAATGGTAACTGTTTGGTGGTCTCAGCATGGTGTTATTCACTATAGTTTTCTCCGATCTGGTCAAGCAATAACGGCAGATGTCTATTGTGCCGAACTCCGAACCATGTTGACAAAACTAGCAGTAAAACAGCCCCGACTCATGAATCGATCTTCACCATTATTGCTCCACGACAACGCGAGACCTCACACAGCACGAGAAACCATTTTGACCCTTCAGGAACTGCAGTTAGAAACCATTCGTCATCCTCCGTATTCACCAGACCTTGCTCCAACGGACTACCATTTTTTTTCGTGATTTGGACAATTATCTACGTGACAAGAAGTTTTCTTCCCAGGAGGCAGTACAAAATGCTTTCACACAGTTTGTGCAGTCTAGATCGTCGGAGTTCTATCGCAAAGGCATTAATAACCTTCCCATTAGATGGCAGCAATGTATAGATAATAATGGCAACTATTTTGATTAAATAAATTTGTTAAAAATTTAAAAAATAAACAATTTAGATTTTCAGTACAAATCGGCAATTTCATACTTTAACCCCTATTATTATCTTTATTACAATAAATACAGAATATTTTCGGAATATACGGAGACGTACACACAGGTCAGTTGTTGGCGCTATCTTTATTTCAGTGCAAACGAGAGTTGATATTTATAAGTGATGTGTCACTGATAAGTTACCAGAAATGTATGGCCCTTATTTCGTCTCTGTTTCTGGTTATATACCCGATGCAAAGAACAGAAAGAAAAATAAAGCTTTTAAAAATGTAAAAACTACATCGAAATTTAAGCTGGTACCCAATATATATTTTTCTTTATTGTCAATATTCCAGGCAAGCAACCGCCATGGATCTCACAGCAGACAAATCGAGCTGGTGCAACACCCTGTCATCGAAGATTTCAACGTGGACGGACCCAAAATCACGTGGACAGTCCATTCGCATCAGCAGCTTGAGGATATGGAATTACAATTTAGAAACGTGAATGAGGTATACATACATGTAGTAATATACTATAGTTTACTGCAAGGAGCTTTTTTTCAAGACTGTAATTATGTTCCTCACATATTAAACAAAAAATTTCTCTTTAGGAAGTGACATCACTATATATAGTCAATCGAAAATAATTCGCTTAGCCTTTACACGACGACGGCCGTATTTTATATGCTCTGAACAGATTTTAGCAATGACATAGTTCTTCTGGGTACGTCCAATGAACACTACGTTAACTTAATTATATATAACTATTTATTTTGTTTTTATTTCTTTTTTCACAGCATTACTTTTTGTTTTTTTTTGTCATAAAATTCGGGAAGCATAATGTTAGTAAATAAATATGGTTGTTTACAAAAATTCGTCGGCATCATAATGACTATATCTTCATTATAAACAACGTTGTCGTAGTGTTCATTGGCGGTATTGTTCAAGTTTTCGTACTTTTTAGGTTCTATATTCATCGAAACTGTTATTATAATGTTATACATCGTTTCTTTTTTTGAACTACACAGAAGGATATTTTAGGCCATTTTGTCAGGCGCCGTTTCGTTCACTCATTGTAAAGCAAAACAATTTAATAAATACTATGGAACGAAATTCTCATAGATTTTAACTATTTTCATATAATTAATACGTTTCTTAAATGAAAACTTTCAATTTTTACACATTTAATCTGCTTTAAAAACTTGCAGCATAAAATATTTAAAGAAACAGAGGCTATGTTTTTTATAAAGCAATAACATAATTATTATCGTGTCATTTGACTAAATTATAAATATAAACATTGGTCATCAATTCTCACGAAATTTTCCTTTATTGAAATTTGTTGTAACTATTGACAAACTGCTTATCAGCAGCCATTATAGCAATTTTTTTGGGCTTTTTAATGTCCAAATACGATATAACGTCAACAAAATTATATAACTCGGTAACAGAAGTCGGAAAGTGCCTGATTATGACGGAAACAAAAACTCCCATTACGATATTGTTTTTTCTTATTATTTACAGACAACCGGAAATTGGGAGCTCAAGAGCGTACCAATCCCAGAGTCGCAGAACGGACCCAAATATGGTGTTATTTATGAAATAAAAGATGCAGATCTAAAAGACGGCCAATATGAGGTGCTGGTTAAAGTTAAGAACAGCAATGGCTGGAGCAAGCAGAGAGACCCTGTTTTCATAAACATAGGTAAGTTGGATAATTTTGAACTTTAAGGTAACGCATGAAGTTAATAATAATAAATAATAATAATAAATAAGGACTAGTAGCTGTAAAGGTACTAACTGGGTGATAAATCTTTCATAAATTTCGCATAGATGGCGCTACGACTAAAAAGTCGTTGAAAAACCAAATACAAAGACACGACGCAAGCACATAGAAAAATTCGTTGGGTCCGTTGTTTCGTTCCGTAGCTTAGTTGGTATAGCGTCTGGCACGGTATGCAAGAAGACGTCACTTCGAATCCGACCGGATCGAAGGAATTTTTTCTGAGTGTTCGATCTTTGTAATAATAATTACAACAAACTAGTCGAGTAATTTCACAAAAAATAATTGAATATCAATTCAATAAAAATTTAAAATAATAAAATTGTTTACTTATCGCAACACGTCAATAAATAAATAAATAAGCTACTTTACATAGAGTTCACTAACAGTGGTGGGAGATAAAAAGGTTACAATTTCTCAGATCTTGCGACATTCTGCTACAGCATGCTATGTTCAAACAGAGAAGAACTAACACACATATCACTTAGTATAAAATATGAATAATTATATAGATATTAATATTACATACACATCACTATCTATGGTTTGCTTAGACAATTTTTTTTATTGTGGAATTTGCACAATGAGAAAATACGACAGACTCGCACAGGCAGGGAAGATCATTCCACACTTTGGAAGCGGCGTATTTAAAACAATCCGAAGTCCCAAACAAAGTATAGACAGGTACCTTATAAATAGTTCCATAGTAGGCAAATAGAAAATGGATAAAAGTTCCATAAAATTGGGTAATCAAAGCTCAAAGTAGATTCCGAAGATACTGGTGGCTAACCAGCTTGAGCTGTGGCCGCTGGATGAGCGGTAGGATCTATTTTTAAAATGATCTTTTCTATATTGGTCTGGTCTCGGTGTTCTAGGTATATATTGAGAAATCCCTAGTTTAAGTTTTGGTATACTGGAATATTATTCTGCTCGTAAAAATAAACAGTATATCATTTGATCGGGGGTAACGTTCATAACATTGAGCGATAGATGCCGCGGAGTTCCTCAGGATTCCGTACTGTCTGCAGCTCTCTTTCTGCTGCATATCAATGATATGTTAATTTCATTATATCAAGCAATTAATGTGAAATAAATAATACTTGACCAAACCAATAGACAAAGTTGAGTATGAAGCTTTATTCGCATCATGCTGTCGTCCGGTTTGTGGCCTTAGAGCTTATTAAGGGTCCCCCATTTCTGCAGAGTACCCAGCATATTCTTAGATGCTGCTGTCGAAATCGTTCATATCGATGTTGTGAAGGGTAAGGGGAAGCAGCAACGAGATCCAGGAGATGATAGTGAATTTGACAAATGCAGCTATTTCCAGAAGTTTACTCAGACACTTTTAAGTGTGTAGCGGTGAGCCTCCTGCACATGTAGGTTCATTCTGTTTGCCATAATCATTCCTAACATAAACGTACACAATGATTACTTTACTAACAATTAGTTATATATATTTATAATAATATAGGTTAGGTGTGTCATGTCGTTAACTAGTACGGACTTTTATTGTATTTACTTTTATTTTTTTTGCATGATTTTGATTTTGCTTTTTTTATTTTTAGATCGCCGACCGCAGCTGATGAAATCTTCAGATGGTAAGAACCTTTTGTTTTTTTTTTCATTTAATTTGCATTTTTGACACTAAATTATAACATATTTTTGGCACTCAGAAATTTTATATCAAATACGCTCAATCATACTGTTCTAAAGTACAATTATTAGTCTCTAACATTGTCTAAAAAACTATATCCAGCGGCTTGATGATACAATAAAACCGGCTCTTTGCACTTGTAAGCGATCAATATATATACAAGAGATTTAGAAAAGTAGATCTTTGCCAAGAAAGACTCAAGCATACGAGAAAATACTGCTATCTCCTACATTTATCTTATCTCCTAGTTTATTCAGTTTTTTTTTAAGAACGGACTCTGTATAGTAGAAAATCTTGGCAAATTTCTTCCCAAGTCACCGTTTAGGTTGTAGTGAATGAGACTATATTATAATGTATAACATTGTTTACAGTTCTCAGAGGTTCTCTTCTTGGCAGCAGCGCAGCCCTTCCGCCATCATCGGCCATGCTTTCAACAATCCTGATGTACCTTCTCGTGCGGATGTTCTGAGCTATTCAACTGCATTATTTATTGTTAGCATAAACGACACTTAAATTTCTACCTTAACGTCCAGTAATTAGGGCCAATCTTAAAGACTTTTCTGATAAATTTGGCTTATATTTTAAATCCAGATACCTAAAACCACACTCCACTGGATAAAGTCCTCTCAAAGCCCTATTAATAATGGTTCCACAGGTATAATGCAAGATGTGGTCTGTTCAAAGATGGTCTTGCTTTGTTTGGCAAGGTAGCTATGGCAGAAAAACTGCAACACAGGAAGACTTATTTGTCATCCTCTGTCCTTATTCCTTAGTTACTAGTTACAACACCCAAGAGAACACATGGGGTAGCTGGACATTATATATGTTTATATACAGCTTTACAACTTTAAATTCAAATAACGATTTGTGTTGCAGGCACATTGAAAAATGTCAAACTTGTAACTATATTCAGGGTATTAATTAAATTGCATTACACCACCGGAAGGTAATACCACCCATCTGAAAAACAATCAGCTGTTTCGTAGTAAATGCCATACTCACTCGCTTAAAATAGATATGATACGAAAAGCGTATTTTATTCCATCCGTACAATAATCGTATATTTAAAATTTTGCTTGTAAGCAGCAACGTTACAATATGGGTATATTGTCTGTCTTCACTGGTATAACCTTATTTCAGCGTTATTATTCTTCGATTTTAAAAACTAGACCACCTATATAAGGCCGAAATGCGCTCAAGAAGTAGCAATTTATCCATTTTAGTCTCAAAAACAGATTTCGAATAGGTGCGCCGAGTCAAAGTTATGTGTTATATTACCACACTGAAATAACCTTATATCCACATTGCCATTTTTCGATCACGAGATTTATTTACTGGTTTAGTCAAGCCTGGTGGTACAATTCTATATTCTTGCGACTAGAATCGATCGATTAAATTAATATTTTACCTTACAAATAAAATTATGAATACTCAATTGTTGTAACGCTGGGAAATAAGATATGTGGAATCAAACTTTTTCGGGAGGAACCAATCAACAACATTTGTAGGTGAGAGGTAAAGGACTTCAAGAAAATATTTTGGAAATTAGATGCTTTTACAAACATTGCTTTAGAATGTTAAAAATGATGCAATGGTAAAAGGTATTAAGTCCAGTCGTCATTTTTTTTTATTTAACATGCTTTGTTTGCCCTTAAGTTTGTTTCTGCCTAATCAAGAGCCTCATTCTCTTTAAAAGGCTCTGTAGTAAAAATATTTTCTATTTAGGTCTTGAGATTCCATACCTCTCACGTACATTACAAACTGGAATAAACGCTGTAAAATTGATGTAATATTTGTACACCTACGTTATTATTCCAATATTTCGGCCAGCTAAAAATGTATACAATTAAGTCAACACCATGTGTAATAAAAACGGTAGAAATTTAAATGTCGAGAATTTTAGATATTAAGTTTAAAAATTTGCTATTGAATGTAATAGAAACAGCTTGTGAACGTATTATTGTTGATGGTTAAGAAATTCGCTTTCTAGAAAAGTATATTTTGGTAAAATTGTCTTTAACAAAAGGGTTCCGTAATTAGTACATATAAATTTGTTGTACAAAATATTTATCACCCCCAGTGATTTATGTTCCACAATTTTTTTTAATAAAGGCTGGTAGACTACATTTGGAGCACCGCATTGGTGCAGAATATCGAAAATTTCGTCGAATTGCACTAACAACAAGTTTGTTGAATAACAGCAACATGTTAGGCTTCAAAAGTAACTTATGAGCCTTTAAAATATTGTACAGTTTAATTAATAAGTGACGATATATAAATAGGCGTAAAGACCAGGGGGACAGATTCTCGTGCAACAGGGAAAAGGCCACAGTTATATATCAAACGATGAAAGCCTATTGGAAATAGGGCTGCTTGTTCATTAAGAACACAAAATTATGAATGTTTAGTAGTAACACTTCTAATGGTAAAGTAAAACACCGTGATGAAGCCTACGTCGAAGAAGGTTGACAAACTCTGGAACATATGTGAAGTCTCGCACTGGATAGTGGACTAAATACGAAGAGAAATATCAAAAGAATGTATCGCAAACATTTTTTGGTATTGTCAGAATCTCAATATGACATAAGACAAGCCTGAGTGCTCAATACCCATGGTTGGAGTTAGGAAAGATAATGTGTTTTCATGGATAACAATAAGACAGATATGTCAATATTTTAACATAAAATAGAATCATTTATTTCATATTATCAATATCATGTTCTATCATCAATATCACAATGTTATAATCTAAAGTATGTACCACGACGGGATGCTTTTCTCAAATAGCAGTTTATTTGAAAAGCCAAATTCTTCAGGAAGTTTATCTATATATCTATCGAATTATAATTATTAAGACAATCGATACATAAAGAATATGCACATGTAAATGTGACTGACATGTGAAATGTGTAAATGTACAACAGAATGTGACAGATGATGTAGTGACCAGGATAGAAAAGGGAATGCTTCGATGGCTTGGCCATCTAAAGATGATGGATGTAAGAAGACTGATAGCACAAATGTATAAAGCGAATGTGGATGGAAATGTGGGGAGAGGTTATACATCGAGGTACAATCTTGATCAAAAAAGGAAAGTTCTTAGGTAAGGATAAATTAAAAGTTTTTAAAATAAACGGGCATGAATGAAGTGACTGATGCAAGAAGGGGAAGACGAATCAGGGGATCTACTCCCGTTCTACGTCCCAGATGCGTCCGAAACTGTCAAATAAGTAATACTCGAACAAATTAATTATATAAATCTTTCGCATCATGCGTCTTTAATTTGGTCGAGTATTACTTATTTGACAGCAATTATTTGGGACAAATGTCGGATGAAGAACGAAAATACATGGCCAGGTTTATTAGGATCGCAACGAGTGGAGCTTCACGAGCTCTGCCTGAAACTCAGGAAGACAATCGTGATGGTATGTTCGTGTACATTTCAAAATCTTTCAAGTCAAGTTTTATGTGAATATAGCTCCGTCGTTTTACTCCACGATTCCGCCAACGTCAGGGCTGAAAGACTGAACAGTATGATGAGACAAATTGAAGGCTATTGAAAGGTATTTGCGGTTATAATTTTTTTTTCTAAAACTTTTTACTAAAATGACATCAAGATTTTTCCAATGCACGAGAATTGGTCCCCCGAATGATTCGAAGCGGAGATACTTAAATTAAAAATGACATTTGAGTTACAGTATGCTAAACGTATTTCTTAGGCGTTCAAATATATATAAATTACCATTTTTCTTTGCTAGAATGTTAATTTTTGAGGTGTGTCAAAATGGCATATATATAATTGTAAAAAATCTCCCCAATAAGCCTTCAAAATACCTCCTTAGTCCATCTGACTACATAGATCGACCAAAATGGATATCGAAGTTGTTGTAGAACCTGTTGGACAATTAAACGTCAGACATAATCGAAAGCTTCAGGTAATAGTTATAGGCGTTTCAAAGCGTATAAAATTCAATATACAATTCATACATAAAAGGGTGTACGACGATTAGTGGTAGATTCGCTTTTGAAAGCCGAGCCGAGGCGAGAAGAGGCATTTTGTAAGCAGGGTGGACGTAAGAAGGTGTTATATCACTTATAAATGTAGGTTCCTTCAAGTTTGGATTACGCCTTTTATTTAACATCTGGCGGAGGGGACTAATCAGCCCGTCATGTTGGGGCTGCAGCTGCATGTATCGTGTCGAAGCAAAGCGTACCGAAGCTTCATATGTTTTGCTTGGTAAAAAGCTATCGCGCTAATGCGGTGGTCACATTAGTGGATTAGTAAGTTTCAACGAATTATCGTGTAAAATACAATTTCCTGACGTATAATTATGGGCGACAACGTTCTTGACTTCTACATGCGTGCTAACAATTACTTTTTTATAGTTTCAAAATTGTATAATAATTCCAACACCATTTCGTTGCTTCACTCCTATCTAAAGTCTAATTAGTCCGAGAACAACGGCCGAAATTAACAACGATAGTCCGACTACGCAGCACGATGTTAAAACCCTTTGGTGTACCGCCACCCTAGGGATAACATGTACGCAGCCCGAACATTCGCGACGATAGCCGACAATGGTTGGTTATGCCTGTACCTGTATCGTATCATTTTGCGAAATTTCGTAACTCTAGACGCAGACGTAGCCCGGGTATCACATAAAAAAAAAGAATATCGTTTATATTTTTATAATAAAAATTTAAGACACCGCAGGAGAAAGACAAAATGACTATGCACTCTAGTTATGAATTTATTGACTAAGTTAACAAAATATCATTATTGAAATTGCAGCACCTCTTTGACACACCTCGTGCAGTTCTATTATTACTTTTTTTTCAATAAATTGTAAATATACATTGTAATTATAATTTGTTTAGTATTAAATATCGCTTAGAATTATATTTGTAATGCAATTTCTACGTCTTACGTAAGTCTCTTTTGTTATTTATAATTTTGGCCCAAATAATATGTAAGTAATTATTAGTTTATAGAAATAATACTTGTGGTGAGCCGGGTATACATAGAGATTAAATTAAATTGATTACAATTATTTTGTTAAAACTTGTAAACAATAATTTTTTTAATGAGAACTCTAAAGATTCGTTTCCCTAGCTCTTAAGTTTAGGAATTATATTAAAGAAATTTCTCCAACTGTGGGCGCAGGATGACATCCCAACAGGACTAATTTGTGCCCTGGAATGAATTCCGTTACTCGTAGGGGTTTCCCTGGTTTGAGACCAGGCAGTGCGGTAGATAGCACATTATTATCATATTACTCTTAGAATAATAACGCATAGAAACCTACTCCGCACATGCTAAGTGAGGCAAATTGAAGCGCGCCCAATGGGCCTACACGAGCGGGCGGGCCTTCAGTGCTCAAGGTCAACTTGCACCGCGAACAGCTCAAGAATTTTAAAAGGTAAATGAGTGTAAAAATACGACAGACAAACATAAAATAGATACTAACATCACATTCCACAAGGAAGTAACGCGTTTCAACTTGTATTTTTGTATAAATATTCACTAAAACCGAAAATTAACCTACTACTAAAACTAGCCTACATGAATTTGATTTTTGCCTCAATTGTGACAGTTCGTTTGATATGAAACTATCATTCTATGCCATTGACTTACAAATAAATGGACGACGGGTCTAATACAAAAACCACGAAAAAAATGTCCCAAGTCAACCTATTCGAAATTTAAATTGTAATGTGATCGCAGTATCGCGCTGTCAGTAGAACAAATGAAGACTAAAGCGGAGTGTCGCGCTCTGTATACGATTTTAGCGCCTTACAAGTGCGGACACTTTTTAGCGTGGACCCGACGTCCATATAATTGTAAGTCAATGTTCTATGCGTTATTATTCTAAGATATTACTTATGTATTAAATAACATATATTTGGGCCAAAATCTATAAATCTGGAAATACGTCTTACGATATTCTTTTTTGTCAGACTAGTGTTTAATTTTTTAGTGTTACAGTACATTACAATAACCAAAGTTTAATTTAGAATCACATTTAGTTTATTTCACTTAAAATTATCGTAATTAATACTTGTCCATTCAATATGGCGGATTTGACAGACAGTGTTTCTGAAGGTTTTAATTTTAATCACTTTATTGCAAGGGTATAAACCTGCAGGAAGTACATGAAACATAATAGTAATCTCCTTTTTGATTATTTAATTAAGTTATTACTGATTACAATGTTTAAAAAGTCACGTGTTGCCATAATTACAATTAAAAGTACAGCAATTTATATTACCATTTTGTTATAGTCTTAACATTACAATGTGCCTATAATGAATAAACCAATAGTTCCATGCAAGGTGCTTATCATTTTTAATAAACATAATTATTGTAATAAGTACACTTCGCTAGACGGTAAAATATACAATCTATTTAATTGCTAAAAAAGTGTATATTATACAAAAAAATATTGAATAATTAATCATTTCTACGGTTTTAACAGTCACTACGACATTATGTATTGACATTTTTAGACACAAATTCATTTTCTCTATTAATTTGACTTTACTATTTAAATTTTTCACCGATTAACAGAGGAACATAACTGGATTTGATGTATTTTAAAGAATTGTATAATGTCGATATAATCACCACACAATGTAATCTTCCAGTTTAACCGTAAATTTAGTTATACGAGCTAGTCTTAATTTGTATTACAATGTCAAATATAAAAACCGTTCTTGAAAAAGTCCTTTTTTACTTAAGACGACGACCTTTGAAATAAAATATTTAAGCTTTATTAACTTTTTTCGTATACATAATGAAACATTTTTAGATGAAATTATTGTCATGCATTGTAAATAAACAACAATGTAAGTTAATATATAAAAACAAATCAGAAAAAATATTAATTTCGTATATTACAGTTGAATCCTTTATTTTATTATTGGTTGTCAAATTGTAATCGGTTTCGTTCATTTGAGTAATAAAGTAATCAAAATAATATAAAAATAATATACTAAAGTGTAATAGAGAGCGACCCAGCTAGAAAACAGCATTATTTTGAAATGTAGTATGAAAACAATCGGCACAACTGCACGCTAACTGTAATCGAGACTGCGTCACAATTAGTGTTGGGTCATGGAAGAATTTCCATGTCGAAAATATATTTTTACTATATTTTTCCAAATTGACAGTTGACCTCAGTCAATAGTTGAAGATATTGCCGACAACGATGGAGCCTTTATAAAAATACTTTTTTTCCCATGATTTTTTTTTCGCTGTTGTCCAATCATTTAAAATCTTGTTTTACTTTAAGTTGCTTTTTTTTAATTTGAAATTTTTGAAAATTTACCCAACAGTAAATGACAATTGCTCATGCTCATGGCTTGCAATCAGCGTGCAGTTGCAATTTTTCACATTACATTGCATTCGAAATGCAGTTTAATACACACAGCAGCAAAAAATAACTTTAATTTGACGTTACCGCCACTATCTCACTTTCTGATAACTATTGCAAGGTCAGTCTCTGTCCAATGCGCTAAAATCTATTAACATATACACACTATTCGGCCACTTATAAATACATATATGTGGCCGAATTTACTTCTTACTAATAACCAGTCGAAACAATAATTGTGACGGCATTTATTTTTCATCGTGTATTCTATGTACGTATGTAATATGTAAAACCGTGCCTTCACGCTTAGACCAGTTGAAGGTAATGTTTTGTCTTAAAGAAATAAACGATAAATGTTTTTATATTATATTTTGTTATTGGTTTTATTTTGCTTTCTCCTTTTCCGATAATTTATATAATTATAGTTTACTTTAGAGACACACGGTGTACCTAATTTTTAAATTTTATATTTTTTTCATTATTTTTTGTACCTATTAAAATTTTCAAAGATGGTGGTTGAAACACAGCCGCGTGTTAGAGACACCGTGTGTGTGGATTTAGGACGTTATGAACTTCCATATCAAAACCGTTAGGACAGAAAGAAGAAAGAAATAATTTATTCCTTGAAACATTTAACATAACATACTAATTTAAACACAAAACATGAACAGTCTATTCCATGAAGATACAATTAACGTAGTTACAAATGGTAAAAATAAGTACTATGTCATGCGCAACAGATTACAATACAATTGAATGGAAATTTATATGATAAAATAGGAAAGCTATAAAATAGGGTTTAATTAATTAATTGAGAGGTTAGGCAACAAATTACAATACAATTGAATGGAAATTAATATGATAAAATAGGAACGTATATATATTTAATTTGATAAAATTATTAAATAATAAGGTTTAATTAATTAATTGAGAAGTTTGATTACAATTAAACAGACGAATAATAATAAACTGAAACGCATATGTCCACGGCACATCAGCAGATACGATGGATATTTCTGAAGATTTAGTAGATACTCTTTGAGTAATTTTTTTAATGCAAACAACGAGGATTAGGGACACCATGTGTCTTCGAGACGCATGACGAGTTAAGATTATTACTGTTTATTACGACTAAATTATATGTAATCCAGAAAATCTGTAATTGGTCTTACCACTGACTAGCATTAAGTACATTATACTTATAATTAGGCTGTTGATTTTCTTAAATAAATTAAAAAAAGAAACAGTTAAAATACATTACTTAAAGTCAAAGTTAAATAATCATTTATTCCACAGGTAAAAATTTTACACCTGAAAACATTGACTTACAAATAAATGGACGACGGGTCTAATACAAAAACCACGAAAAAATGTCCCAAGTCAACCTATTCGAAATTTAAATTGTAATGTCATCGCAGTATCGCGCTGTCAGTAGAACAAATGAAGACTAAAGCGGAGTTTGGCGCTCTGTATACGATTTTAGCGCCTTACAAGTGCGGACACTTTTTAGCGCGGACCCGACGTCCATATAATTGTAAGTCAATGCCTGAAAACGTCATTTTTTAAGCTACTTATTAAACTACTGCTCGTTCACTACGCTGACCTCAATGAAAAGAACGAGCAAGAAACTCTAGGGATTGCTCTTCTCAAATAAACTTAAATGCTATGGAATACACTTTGAATCATAATTGTGTGGAATCTAGACTCTTGTTGTCTTTCCATATTTCTCTATCTAAAACATACTCTTCAATTTTGTAATATGACTTTTCAATTAAAATACTTTTAATGTAAGTTTTAAACTAAGGAAATGATAATTTTAATATATTCTCCGGAATCTAAATCAGTTCCCCATAAAAGAATCGTTTCATCGTCAACCCATTTATATGTGCCTAGCAGTGGGCTGGGCACGGGTCTCCTTTCAGACGAGGGTTTAGGCCATATTCCGCCACGCTGGCCCAATGCTGGTTGGGGCCTTCACACATTTTCCGAGGGTTGTGAACCTTCTTCAACGTGCAGGTTTCATCACGATGTTTTCCTTCCTAAATTCCGAGAAACTCAGAGGTGCGAGCCCGGATTCGAAACCACGACCCTCTGCTTGAGAGGCAGTAGGTCAAACCAATAGGCTACCACGGCTTCTTCACGGCAAAAGAATCGTCGTGGTACCATGAGTTTGGACTTAATTCTAAGATTAATATTATTATATTAACCTTTATATTATTATTGAATTAAACATACTATAGTAATCATAACACCCGAATGACTTTGAAGCTTGGACTTCAAAACTTTACTTTTTGTAGCATTAAATCTCCTTGTGAATGTATGTAAGCATTACCGTGTTCCTGTTTTGAAGGGTAACAAGGGCGCTTTTAAAACTGGCTTCCTCTAAGGACAGAATTTTGGTTTAAATATTCAAATGTTTATTTATAATAATAATAATTGTTTCGTTCAGAATGTCTCCAAGTTCATATTTTAGTCAAACCCTTTCGGCTGAGTTGTGAAGGGCCGCTCATGCCTGCACAAATGAGCCGTCGACTCTCTCCGTAACTATGGCTGGGAGGCTGTTGGAGCTGCCACACACGCGCTTCAGTAACTACACCACACGCTTACGCATGATGGCTTGAAAACCATACGGTCGCGTTTCCGCTAACATTCCCGACGTTCTGCAATGCCGCGGTAGTCCTTACAACATCCTGAACACGTTGTTGTACCTGTACAACAAAAGGCTTACAGCGCCCTACGAGTCCAGACTCGTAGGGCGCTGTAAGCGCTGTAAGCCTTTTGAGTATAGTTGATCCATCGACTGAAGCGCTGTAAGCCTTTGGAGTATAGTTGTCCATCGACTGCAACTGTAAAATGATTGGTAGGAAGCTTTGAAGAGGATAATTTTAACGTTAAGAACGTTAAAATTACACGTACACTTTGCAAATCTACCTTAACTTAT